GAGGTTGGACTTCTTGACATCCCTGGCTAGGCGTTGTGCACATGTCCTCGAGCTAGGCACTTAAAATGCCTTTCTTCCCTCCACCTAGGTGTAAAAATTACCCAGTGGAAGAAAAGAGATGGACTTCGGCCTCAAACACGACGTGCAAGGGCTAATTTGTCTTTTACCTATTGCCGGACACTAAGTATTTGCTGCCGAAATCCAGAAGTTCACAAACTTTCAACGATTTGGCTTGATGATCAATTAAATCCAACATCTGCACGAGAAATGTTGCCATTCTTGGCTAATTTGCAATCAGATGTTCCAGTAGTCTATCGTAGACCGGTGACTTGATCAACATTGCAATAAGACCACCATCACGCCCTCATCTACAGTAGCTGTAATGCAATCAACATTGATTGGGCAATCCCCTGTGATTGCCTCTTGCGATCACAAAGGTAATAAAACTCCGCTGCAATAAAGTTCTTTTTCATTTGACTGCAGAATAAAACAATGAATATCTACAAGCTCCTATTTGATTAGGTACATACATGTGATAATGAAGACCATTTGCGCTGAGGTAGTTCTTATCATATCTTAAAGCAAGATATCCTGATAAGTTTATTCTTTCTCAGGTTCATTAGTATAAACATGGTCTGGTACTGTGTGTCCCTGAACAATACATCATTATTGATTACTTTATCGATTCTTATAAATCTTTGCAGGAATTTGAGGACCTTTGTTCAATCTGAAACAATCAAAGTGTCTGTAGCCAATTTACAGGACCAGACGGTAAAACATTGAGCAGAACCAGTCATGAATAGAGACGTCCACGCAAAACTGGAAATCAAGGACAGCAATTCAATTCGGGTTACTTAATCAGCCTCATCAATCTTTCGAGCTAGTAGGCATTAACAGCATGTAACCTAAATGTCGTTGGCCCAAACTACTTAATCACGGACAAGAAAGGAGCACCCCGTATATAAGGAATGACCAATCAGTATGGACCGTGATGAAACCTAACGGTCGAATCAATTCAAATTT